CAACGCAATGTCTTTCTTGTAGTGAGGGGCCCAACCCTGACCCCAGCACTCGAGGGGCGGCCCCCCCAGTGCCCAGCACAGGGGCACGCTCCCTGCCCTGCTCCTGCTGGCCACACCACCCCTGATACAAGCCAGGATGCTGCTGGCCCTCTTGGCCACCTGGGCACCCTGCTGGCTCATATCCAGCCGCCTGTGGACCTTCAGAACTGGATGCCTTTGCTTCAGCAAAACGGTTCACAAAGGGCAGCTCAGAAAACAGAACTTGTGTCGCCACAGCTTAAGAAGCAGAAAAGCCGGCAAATGAAAACCATGGAAGCGAAGCCGCTGAGCGTGGAACGCTGCCTACCTTTGTCTTCTTCTCAGGGCTGGGAGGAAGCTCTTTGTTGGGGGGTGCTGTGATATCATTCCCCGTCACAGCTTCAGCTGGCTTGGCCTCTTCTGGTTTTACTGGGAAGAAAAAAAGGAAGGGAGACTCCTTAGGTCTGAGCTTTTTTTTTTGATCTAAATATATTTTTGGTTTGTTTGTTTCCTATTATTCAACACAGGAGCAGGATGAGACAGAATCGAGAGTTACAGATTGACCATTGCTGGAAAATTTCCCCCAAATCAGAACACTTGTAGGAAGAAAGGTTTCCCCTGCAGCAGGCCAGGTTCCTCCAGATGCCATCAGCATCCCATTTCTTGTATTATTCCAGCGGGAAAAGACAGACAGCAGAGGAAGGAAACCCCTGGTTTCATTAAAACAGCAAACCTTCCCCTCTTTCAAGTTATTACACTGAATTATTGGGGTGTTAGTGGTGACGTCCTGACCTCCTCTGGGTTTTATACCATGACCTGTCCCGAGGCAGGGCGCTGCCTTTAACCTGTCCCTATCCTTAGGGCTGTGTCTTCTTCTCGACCTTTCTTCCGCCCACAGCCAGGCGTTGCAGCTCTCCGCAGGGTGGGAGGATTCCCGCTGACGGGAACAGTCGCCCAGGGAAGTGAGAAGATGGAAACCTCATTCAGACCGGCGTGGACCATAGCGCCCCGCGTTAGCGTGGAAGCCATGGCGTCACGCTGCCGTAGGCGGCGTTTCACAGCGCAAAGCTTAGGCTCAGCCACCAGGGTCGCCCCATTTCCCACCGCCAGCGTTCCAGTTTGCTCACGGGCACCCGAGGTTGTGACGCTGAGCGGGGACGGCGAATAACCCACGCTCTTCTCGCAACGGGACCACCACCGCTGCCTCGTCTCCCCGGAAAAAGCAGCCCCCGAAGCACTGCCCAGCCGCCGGCAGGACAACCGCCGCCCTCCCAAGCAAAGAGCTCAACAAAACCAGAATTTAGGAGCAGCTTCAGCAAGTTTTCACCCTAAATCTTATCAATCCTACAGCAGAACCGCCACGCTGCTCTGCACCCCGGGAGGCGCAAGAGCCAATTTCCCTATAAATAGCTTTTAAAAGACCAATTCTCAGCGGCGGTGCTGTACGCCCGCGCTGCTACGAGCCGCCTTCCGCTGTAATTCCTCCGGCATTTGCATTTTGTGACGGATACGGTGCAAACAACCCATCACAAATCTATGCGCTTCCCCGTGTCATCTGGGGATTAAAACAAAGCCCGTCCATACCGGATGCTTCTCCTGACAGACCGCAGTGCTGCGGCGCGCGCGGAGGGCCCAACGGACGGCAGCGCAACCATTCCAACAGCACAAAGGTTGTTTGCCGCAGCATCTGAAAATCCCCATTTTTACGTCATGTTTTCGTGCTTGCCAGTCCTGACGGGAGCATCTCGGAGGAGAGCTCAGGGCTGGGACAGACGCCACCACCGAAGCAAAGAAACTAAAATAAAATTGTGCCTTCCGCTCGCCCCGGTGACGGTCAACAGCCGGACGGTGCTGCTGCTGTTGTTTATTTTTCTGACTCCAGAACAAGTTCAGGAGCTGTTTTTCCCTTGCATTGCATCAGCTTCCAGGTCACACTAAAGCTTTTGCAGCTCTGGGGTTAGCATCCCCGGCATGCAAAAAAGGCTCGTGAAGAAAAACGAGCAGCAAACCGCACAGGCTGGACACTGTTTTTAATGCAAAATCCTAAAGAATCGCTCGCGTTCGCCTCGAAAGCCCATTTTTTTTGTAGCTAATCTGTATTGCCTCCTCCATACCAGTTTTCTCCACTGCATTTCACTAAGCCTTTACGTTCTCCCGCATTCAGCTGCTCAGATTTCTCTACGGCAATAGCAGAAAGAGCAATCGCTGCCGACAGTCCCCATTTCCAACCAGCAACCTTCTGCCCCTTCGCCGCTCGCTGCCCCTGCGACCCCACGCCTGGGCGTTATTTTGAACCCTACTGGTCTCAAATATCCCAGACCCCAGGGGGACTTCCCTCCCCTTGTGCTGCCCGTTGTCTTTCTTCCAGCTAATTCAGTTGCGGCTGTAACCCCCCCGGCCCGAGAGCATCCACGCAGCGACGGGCATTCGTCTGCTCAGGGCGCCTAACGCGGCTCCCCGAGAAAACCCTCCGCTTCCAAAGCTCTAGGATTGGAACTCCAGCAGCTCCCACGCTTCTGCACTAACGACCACACGAATTCCACGTTATTACGTGTAACTTAATCAAAGGCGGGCTGCCACGCAAGAACTGTGGAGTGAGTAACTTCCACACACCAAATTACCGGAGGATGCGTTACGGTTCTACAAAGCAAATAGGATTTGTTTTCTTTTTTAAGTGTAAACCAGAAAGGTAGCATCACCCAGCTGATGGAGCCTCGCCGCGGGACAGCACATGGAATCATAGAGTGGTTTGGGCTGGCAAAGCCCTTTCAGCTCCCCCAGCCCAACCGCCCCCTACCCCTTGCCGTCCCACCCCCAAACCCTGGCCCTAAGCACCTCGTCTGCCCGGCTTTTTAATAATGATAATAAACAACCCAGGAGAGCTGGGCAGGGAAGTTTCCTATTTCGGGGCCCCAGCACGGCTGTCCAGGTTCCATCCCTCGCAGGCTCTGACGAAGTGGGGTATGTGCCCCCCTGCCCACCCCCCCCAAGGGATTAGAGAAGGGCAGTTTTGGGTTGGGCTGCCTCAATTTGAGTAACGACCCAATGTGCTCATCAGTCCATTTGCTTTCATTCCTCGTTTAATTAGGAGGGTGCTCTCTCCTATCCGGAGCAGAGCGCTGCCTGGGAAGATTTCCTGGTTACAGGGAATATTAGGAAAAGCTGCCAAACCTTAATCACATTTGTTCATTAGATTTATTTAAGAGACTTTTCAGTTTGTTTGTTCCTCCAAGCATAGCGACAAACCTCTGAGAGATATTTCAAAGACGTTTTGTCGGGAGCTGTAGCCCTGAGCAGGGCTCCTCCTTCCGCCGCCGCAGCTCCCGCTCCTCGTGCTGTTCACTGATGGAGAAAAATTCAGCTCAGCTGAGTCAGCACCCAGACCAGAATTACTCCTGAGGGAAAGGGACCTGTGAGTCCTGGTGGACGACAAGGAGGCCATGAGCCAGCAGGGTGCCCTTGGTGCCAAGAAGGGCAATGGCATCCTGGGGTGCATCAAGAGGAGTTTGGCTAGCAGGGCGAGGGAGGTTCTCCTCCCCCTCTACTCTGCCCTGGGGAGACCCCACCTGGAGCACTGGGTCCAGTTCTGGGCTCCCCAGTTCAAGAAAGATGAGGAACTCCTAGAAAGAGTCCAGAGGAGAGCAACAAGGATGATGGGGGGAATAGAGCATCTCCCCTAGGAGGAAAGGCTGAGGGAGCTGGGCTTGTTCAGCCTGGAGCAGAGGAGGCTGAGGGGAGCCCTCATCGCTGCCTACAACTGCCTGAGAGGAGGGGGGAGCCGGGGGGGTCGGGCTCTGCTCCCAGGGAAGGGGCGATGGGACGAGGGGCACCGGCCTCAAGTTGTGCCAGGGCAGGGTGAGGTTGGCCATGGGGAACAATTCCTTCCCCTTGGGGCTGTCAGGCACTGGAAGGGGCTGCCCAGGGAAGGGGTCGAGTCCCCAGCCCTGGGGGGATTTAACAGCCGGGCAGAGGCGGTGCTGAGGGCCGGGGTTTGGGGGTGGGACCGCAGGGGTAGGGGAATGGTTGAGCTTGATGATCTTAAAGGGCTTTTCCAACCTCAGTGATTCTATGATTAAAACAAGACCTACACAACTTGTAGGTGGTAGAAACCGGACTTCTCCCCTACTGACTCCGCACCAGCCTTGCCAGAGCCTCACCACCGTGGTGCTCGGTTGGCCAACCCAACCCTGCCCAAAAGCAGCCCCTGAGCTGCAGTAACACACAGCCAAGACCACGCGCAGAAGCCGTAGCGATGAAACTACGTATGGCAAAGGCACACTAAGGCCAGGAAGTTAAAAAGCATGTTTTTAAAATAAATTTGTCACCAGAAACCAGGTATTTGCCATTGCTGGATGAAGGAGCCGGCGAACAAGACCACACGGTGTTCAGATAAAGCTGAAGTCGGTGGGAACAAGGCTCCTAACAAATAAGCACTGGTGATTCTTCAGAATAAACAGTAAAAATGAGATGATCTATGCCAAAATGGACACTCAACAAAAAAAAGCTTCAGCTCCTTGTTATAAAAGAGGACAATACTCTTCCTATAGATGTTAGAAATTCTGGAAGATGTAACTCATTAAGTTTGTCTCGTACAAGCAGGGTGAGCCATAAAAAACACTAATGAGGGAATTTATAAGTCTGCCTCCAACAGCCAAGTTTAAATACCGTGACGCAAAGAAAGCACATGGGGCCGTCCAGGCAGCTGTGGAGTAGGCACGGTCTCCTGAAAGGCAATTCATCCCGAGTTTTAGGTATCTGCACCCACTCAGAACATGTTATTTACACGAGAACCCTGGTGTCCAAGGAGACATTTAACATATTTCATCCTTAACCTCTCAGTTCCATGCAGCTGCAGCTCTGGCAGGGGTTACCAGCAGGGGGTGAGGCGTCGCTAGAAGAAACGTGATGGGTGCTAAAGCGATGCAAGTAGATGATGCAATGGGTTTAGGAATGATCACAGAATCCCAGAATCCCAGCATGGCCGGGGCTGGCAGGGCCCTCGGGAGCTCACCCAGTGCCACCCCCCTGCCCAAGCAGGCTCACCCAGAGCAGGGGGCACAGGACAGCGTCCAGGCGGGGGTTGAAGATCTCCAGAGAAGGAGACTCCACAGCCCCCCTGGGCAGCCTGGACCAGGGCTCGGGCACCCTCACAGTCAACAAGTTCTTCCTCACGTTCAACTGGAACCTCTTGTGCTTCAGTTTGTGCCCATGGCCCCTTGTCCTGGTGCTGGGCACTACTGAGAAGAGTCTGGCTCTGTCCTCGTGACCCCCACCCTTGAGATATTTGTAGATGTTGATGAGATCCCCTCTCAGCCTTCTCTTCTCCAGGCTGAACAAGCCCAGCTCCCTCAGCCTTTGATACCTTTTCCCCCCCAAAAGAACAGACTGTAGAACAGCCACCCTATCAGCCGTATAAAAGACCAAAGCTG